GTTGTGAGAGACATTCAGAGTTTCCAACATTTGCAGCTGCCCAAGTTGCCACGGTATCTCTTGAGCAAGGAAATTTCTACTAAGAACAAGATCTTGAAGAGAACGCAGGAAGCCTATCTCCTGTGGAATGCTATTTGTAAATTTGTTATTACTGAGGTTCAGCAACAATAAATCTGTGCACTCCCCAAGTTGTTTTGGAATCGATCCACTTAGATTATTAAATGATAAATCAAGGATTTTGAGAGAAGAAATCATCTTGATGTCTGAGGGAATGGCACCTGAAAGATTGTTGTTGCTAAGAGTAAGGTTGTACAACAGCTTCAACCCCCCTAATTCTTTTGGGATGGTTCCTTCTAAGTGATTTGATGTCAGATCAATCAATTGTAATTGAGTAGCCTTCCCAAGCTCTGCTGGTATCTCTCCAGAAACATTATTGTTTAAGATTTTAAAGCTTGTTATGTTACTATAATCTCCCCATTTCAGAGAAAGCTCACCATAAAAATTATTGTAACTCAAATCAACATAATCCAAATGTGGATAGATGCCAAAATCCTCAGAAATATTTCCTGTCAATTGATTCCCATCAAGTCTCAGTTGGTGCAAACCGGTACAGTTTTTCAAGCTTTTTGGGATGGAACCGGAGAAATAGTTGTTACAAGCAATAAATCTTTCAAGTACTACTCCATTGCATAGCTCTTGTGGCAAATGACCCGTGAATTCATTGTAAGACAAATCCAACCACTTCACATGGGTAAGATTGTTCATCTTTAGGGGCAATGAGCCGCGAAGTTTGTTCTCAGCGAAGATCAATTTCTCTAGAGATTTAAGCTTTCCTATTTCTGAAGGAACATATCCATATAAATTATTTTGACCTAGATAGAGAAAGGATAGGTTTTTTAAATTTCCAATAGAGGAGGGGATCAAACCAGTGAGATTGTTTTCATCCAGTTCTACATCAATGAGCATGCTCATGTTCCCAATAGAAGAAGGGATAGGACCAGAGAGATGGTTGTCATAAAGGGCGAGAAAAGATAAATTTGTCAAGTTTCCAATTGAATTAGGGATTTCACCGGTTAAAATATTACTTGAAAAGTCAAGATCATAGAGAGATTTTAGCAATCCAATGTCTTGAGGAATGGAACCAGAGAGTTTGTTACGCCAAAGATAAAATATTGATAGGTTCCTCAAATTTCCAACAGAGGAGGGGATTGAACCAATGAGATTATTTTGTCCGAGCTCTACATCAATAAGCATACTCATATTCCCAATAGAAGTAGGAATAGGACCAGAGAGTTGATTTTGAAAAAGGTGGAAAAATGATAAGTTCGTTAAGTTCCCTATTGAATTAGGGATTGCACCGGTTAAATTATTACTTGAAAAGTCAAGATCATTGAGTGATTCTAGCAACCCAATTTCTCCAGGGATGGAACCAGAGAATTTATTATTCCAAAGATAGAGTATCGATAGACTCCTCAAATTTCCAACAGAGGAGGGGATAAAACCAGTGAGATTATTTTGTTGCAGTTGTACATCAATGAGAAAGCTCATGTTCCCGATAGAAGAAGGGATGGGACCAGAGAGCTGGTTTTGAAAGAGGTGAAACAAGGATAAGTTTGTCAAATTTCCAATAGAGAAAGGGATCACACCAGTGAGATTATTTGCAGATAATGAAAGAAGGGAAAGAGACGTCAACTTTCCAATTTCACATGGGATGGGGCCACTAAGAATATTTCCACACAGATACAAGATGTTGAGACTTTTCATTAAGCCTATCTCAGATGGGATGCTTCCCGTGAGATTATTATCACATAAATTGAGCTCAGTAATCTTGGGTAGATTATCAGTGCCTGATGGAACTGTTCCATGAATTGAATTCCTCTGGAGATTGAGAGAGAGAAGATTGGGGAGGGATGAGAAGTTGAGATCATAAAGCGTACCTCTCAAGCCAAAGTGTGGAAGGCTCAAGTTGGTGACGCTTCCAGAACTGTCGCAAGTGATTCCGGTCCAGTTAATGCATGGGCTGATGCCGAACCAAGAAGAAAGGAGAGATTGGCTTTGGTTGTCAAGACTGGCTTTCCATTTGAGAAGAGCCTCGGCCTCTGTACTATTACCTCCAGTAATTCTGGATTTGGCAGCGCTTACAGCCGTACCAAAAATTGTAGCCGTAGAAGAACTGTCTTGAGCAAAAGCAGCCAAGGAAGAAGAAAAATAGAACATGTGAAGGAGCAAAATCAGGATGTGGAGAAAGCCAAAGAAGACTGGTTTGTGTAGCAGGGACGTCATGGTTGTGTTTTTTCAAGAGATATAATAATAAAGTAATGGTAGGCTCCTTCATTTATAGGATGGAAAACATGATTGGAATCTTCTTCTTAATTTCATTCGAATATTACAAATCTGAAATTAATTACCAATCCATCAATAATTTCTTCTCCCTTTCCGAAATCAAATCATGGGATGCGACAATATCGTGGGCTCGCTTTACTAATGTGCAAGTCCTATGGACTTAGACATTGTTGTCTTCCTTTGTGTTAAGCACACTTTTTTGAGAAATTATACTGTTACATTTTTAGGATTTTTATTTATCGAGATTAATCTTGAACATCTATATATGGCTATATATCACAATTATAAAGGATTATTCAATTATAAACTATGTCAGAATCTGCACTCTCATGGTACTCTTGAACTTGATTTGTTGTAAAGCAATAAAGCTTGCTTGCTTAAGTGGCTTCAAGTCACTCGTAACTTTCGTTACAAAAAAACAAGAAAAAAGAAGAGTAAAACACTCTCGTTTCATAACTTCTTAATGGATTTTTAGTTTAAAACTATTTTATTATTATTTTTTAGCTTTGTTTATAATATTTTTCTTAGTATACAAGCTTAATTGAAGAGCTTTAATATTCATTTTTCATTAGAAAAGGTATAAAGTTATAAAAATTCAAATTAAAGTTCCTGTGGCAGAAACTTTTTAATGAAATTCAAAAAAGATGCTCCCCGAAAATATGTATTAACAAGCCAAAAAAAACTTCTATTGTAAATAATGAAAACTATTTAAAATGGTTTTTATTTTATATTAAAATAATAAAATTTTTATTTATTGTGTATATAATAAATTTTGATATGATATAAAAACTAATAAAAAAATATAATAAACTCGCGAATATAAGATTAAGCCGAACAAAAAAAAACATTTAATTACCAACACCTTTGTATGCAAGGCAACTTCTATATTTTCTTGAACCTATTGTCTCCGGTATTAATTGGTTTTTGGATTTTAAATTATTTTTTAAATACTTGAAATTAATTTTTAAACTGTTACAAAATCCTAATTACTTATTTATTTAATTTTTTTTAATTATTGTACTAGTTTTTTAATTTTTAATTTTATTTTATGTTTAGCTACTATATATTAACAGCCTATATATATTTTGCATTCTTACAATCAATGTATGCTGAAAAAACTATAATATTCTTCTTTTTTATGTTTATAAAGGTTGCTGATAATTTTGTTGATCTTTGTCCGGTTGTTTATGCAACCCTCGTTTTAAAGAAGAAACTTGTTAAACTCTGGAGGACAGCTTTGTATTAAAAAAATATTTTTAGAAACAGTTTCTACACTACTGATAAACAGCACTGCTGCCCTCAACATTCAACAATGTTGTTGTTGGGAACTCTGATATTGTTATCTTTCATGTCGCTAACTCTGCTGCTGCGACTGACTCATTAGCTATGGGACCCTGATAAGTGAATTGAATTGTTCAATAGAACTATGAATGCTTTCGTTCTTGACACGGTTGAATAAGCTAGTCTCCTCAAAAACACCCGACAAATGGTAGCTCGCTATCGTGCTCAAGGGGGTAATGGAGGGTTACCACATATTCCACTCCACTAACGTTGTCAGATTCAAGCAATTGGGGAGACTAGGGAAACAAGTAAAACAAGGATGGTCCCTCGTATCACAATTTTTATTCAAAAAATGGCACGGTCATTTCTTACATCTTAGTGGAAGAGTATATAGTAGAAAATTGAGAGTTTCATCTAGTAATTAAATAAAATTATACATTCTAAAATGTGTGTTGATTTGGGATATTTATATAAGGGGTTGTTTATATATATATATATATATATATATATATATGAGAAGAAAAACATTATTCTTCTATCATTTTTTTTTATAAAATATTATCTTTACTATTTATTTTTCTCAATTTATTTTTTTAAATGTTCATAATTATCCTCAGTTTATACTTTTAATTGTCAATTTATAATATTTTTTGAAAATAATATTAGTTTCTAAAAATAAAATACTCCCAAAAAACATATACCTTAAATCCTAAAAAACAATCCATCAAAATTGCTAAAAATATACTATCTCATATTTGAATTTAAATCTAGATATATATCATTTAAAAAAAACATATAAAAATAATATTTATTCTTAAAATGAGAGATTTCATCAATGTTGTTAAGAAAATACATGAAACCTACATGGATGATAAGAATTAGGCTTTGAGCCCTAAAGTATAAAAAATAATCTTCCACCTTTTTGCTTAAAAACAATCTTTTAAATTGATATGTTGTTTAAAATTATTTTTTTATTTTTTTAAAAAAACATGAATTTATTTTAATATTTGTTTTGTTATATAATTTCAATGGGCTTGTTTATTGAAGGAAACTTTAATAAACTTATTATTAAATTTAAACATATATGCAAAAAAAATTATTTTTTAAAAAAACGTTGGCCACGATGCACAATATATACTCATATAAATTTGATGTTATTTTTATTTTTATTATATTATTTTTTAATCTTCTTCTGTTGCTTTTTTTTCTCCCTTGAATCTGTATACACTTGACCCAAACCCATTGAACCCATGGATACAACCCGAAGCATTTAGCCCAGATTAATAAAGCTATAGCCCGACATTCATCAAAGAGAAGCCAAGACCACAGTCCATCACCAACCCACGGCCCGTGCTGAATAAGCCTAAAGAAACTAAAGCCAGCCCATTTGCTAGAACCCTCATAAGCCTTATCCAAGAAAGAAAATGGGCCAAAGCCAGAGTATCCCCGAACTAATTATAGTTCATTAAAATAAATTAATTAATTTTTTCTAGATGCTATCTTAATAAATGCCGCTAAATTTTGACTTTGTTTTATAACATTTTTTCTTATAACATTAGCAAATGCTAATTTTATCAAACCCTTTATATTTTTTTTTCTTAAATTTTATTTAATTTTTTCTTATGCATATTTTATTAGTATTAAAATTTTTATCATTCTTTCTATTTTCCTTATTTTTCTTAGTATTAAAATTTATAAAGCCTATCATTTTAAAAATTCAAATAAAAAAGATGAAATATAAAAATATAATACAAGTTGAAGAATCTAATAATAAAATGAAGAAATAAAGGTTTAGATTTATATTTTTTATAACAAAAAAGTAAATAAATTGTGGAATATGACAATTTAATACTTAAAAGGATATTTCATAAATCATGAAAAAAATAATTTTATAGGAAAATAAATTTAAAATATAAACATATTGGTCAAAGAAATTTTTTTATAGAATCCATTGCTCTTTTATTTTCTGAACTAAACTTACTGGTAATTTTCTCTTCTTAAAACTACTGTTATGTTCCCCTTCTACCCATCCGGTGCCCATATTTTAAGGAGGGGTTTAATTAATTTATCAAATTGCTCTAATTAAAAAATTCTTCACATAACTTTATGTTTATAAACATATAGATCATTCAAAAAAAAAAAGTAATCTTCATTCAATAAAATGTTTAGTTTTACTTGGGGCCGGATACGATATTTATTCTCCCTTCATTAATTTCTGTTATTCGTGTTCTTGATGCAAATACCATTAGCTTAATGGGATCGAAACCAACAAATCATTCAAGATTCCTATAGCTTATATCCATTCATCCATGATGATAGTTCACTATTATAGCTCCCCAACATCAACAGGAAAGAAAAAAAGTGTCCTTGCAATCCCAAACAATTTCATTAAAGGTGAAGGCTTAAACGTATAGAATAATAATTATATCTTGAGATTTTATTTGTATCAATGCTAATCATATGAACTTAAATTATATGATATAAATTTAAAGTTATCAATTTTATATATATATATATATATTTATTAAAATTTTAGCAAAGTTTTCTTTGTATTTTTTTATACTAAGTTATCGACTCAAAGATTTCTCAACCTGTAATATCAATTAAATTCTTATTCTATTATTTGGACTTTCAAAATACTAAGCATATAACAATATCTCATTTATATTTGCTATAGAACAATTAGTTAAAGCTAAAACAATTCATAACATGCATCGTTTGTTTGTTTGTTTGTTTTTTTTAAAAAAAAGTTGTGTTCAAAATATATAAACAACCAATCATACATATATCATATATAAGTCAATAAGTTAAACATTACAATTCCTAAATATAAAAGTATATTATAACAAAATATTAGTTCTATAAATTACATAAATTATTTAACAAAATATTTATCCATACATCTACTTTCTAGTTTCGAGAGTGCGAAGTACATGATCACATTTAAACATGATTAAAAATTGCACATTTCAACAAATAATTAATTAAAGAAAACTATTCATGTATATTGAAGTAATTCTCATCTCATTGAATGAATTATCCTTTAATAGTTTAATAGTTTCATAAATTCTTTTTCAAATAAAAAGATAGCTTATTATTTATCTATTACACCGATTAATTATTTAATTAACCCAAAAGTTTATTTTCTAAACATGTTTATTCATCAAAACAATATTTCTAGTAATCAAGAAATAATTTTCTTTACTTGCCTATTCAACAAAGTATTATTTTCAACAACCAAAATTCAATATTTTTTTCTTTTAATTTTCTTCTTTTAACCGAAATTAACCTAAGGAAGAAAGTAAAGATTTTTTTCTTTTCTTTTATCTTTAAAAAATTATTACTCCTTTCATAATAATAACACTTATAAACCTATTTCTTCCCATATTTTCCAAACAATTGTATTAAACCTCAAATCCCTTAATTATTTCCTCTTTTAGTTGAAAGTTAAATAAAAAAGGGAGGAAATAATTTTTATTTTTCTATTTAAAATTAAACACTTATTCAATCTTAATACATACATTCTAATAAGATTCAATCATAATTTGCATGATTCTCATAATCTATAACACAAACCCACAATTTCACATGTTTGTATCACTTTGATGATCTATAACATAATCTCACAATTTCATATAAATTTAAATACTACATAATCCTTCATCAAACATAAAATTAGAGGAATAAATCATTTGGAGCATGTTATTTCCCTCACTTTGATAACAATTTAAGAAAAAAATGTTAGAAAAAATCAAGTTTTTCTCTCCTTCTTCTTCAAACTCTAGCTTGAATTTTTTTTCCTAAAGCACTCACCACCTTAAAATCACTCTCTCTTGATGTTTAACTAAATTAATCATTCAAATTAACAAGAATTTGTAGAGACAAATCACATAATTTCTCCCTCTCTATTGGTTTCAAACTCTGGGCTAAAAGAGAGAAAAATTGGAGCATTTATAATATAGGTTTTATTTATTTACACATTGGCTCTCATTACCTCTTATTTCAATTTTTATTACTTAATTCTTCTTTTTACTTAATTACACCACAACACTTTATCTTTTATTTAATTATATCTATTTACAATACTTGAAATCTTTTTATTTAATTTATTTGATATTTTATTTTGTTTAGGTTATAATTTATCGAGTTTTCACATTATCTAATAGCTTAAATTTTTAAGTTGAGATAATTTTTTGACATGATATCAAAACCTTGATTACCAAGCAATTATGAGTTCAAATCGCATCATTTTTATTTATTTGATAAAAAATAAATACAAAATAGTATGAACTTATATAAATTTTAAGTTTAAAGAGTTTTTATTTGAAAATTTATATTAAAAAATAATATAAATTATATTTTAAAATTTAACCTAACAACTTAAATTTTTAAGTTGAAATGTTTCATCTGACATTATACAATTCTCATTAACATTAATAAAGAGTATGCATGGCACTCTTCTTCTTTCTGGTTATTGCAGACAAATGAAAGAATTCAATAAGTGAACTCTGAACTTTTGGTGTCATAACTGTTCTTCGGCTTTATTCCATGATTTGATACCTTCCTTGAAAATCTTGTCAGCCTTCACAATTTCTTCATATGTCATCTATTTCCTGAGTGTCAATCATACAAATAATTTATATGTAAGCGTATCTTAAAATCATTAAAAGCTAAGTTGAAATAAATATGTTTAACTGGATTAATGCCATGTTGAATTCAATTGCAAACTTAACTCAGATCAGTCAGATCCGGATATTAAATTTCTTGAATCAATCTAATTTAATAACTGTGAGCATTCATGTAATTTGAAAAATACGAGTGTTCGTCATATTTTAGATGGACGCGTCTCTTGAAATTGATGTCATGTTCAACCCACCAACTTTTGAAAAAAGAAAGCAGAAGCTAGAAACAAAGCAAGACAGAATATAGCATAATTTTCTTTGTTATTATTTATTTATGCTTCACATATGGCAAAACATACATATATTATAATGCCAACTCCAGCATGATTATTGACTTTTAGTGATTTAATAGTTTGGCTAAATCAGTGATTGGATCAAGTTTAGAAATACCGATTGATAGAATTGATTGGAAGATTTTTAAAGAAGACTATAAACAAATAATAATAATAATAATAAAAAAAACTCCTCCTCTCTCCCTTCGCATGCTTGGCTGAGACAGGCTATAAACAAATAATAATAAACAAGTAATTTGGAAAACCCTTGGATTGGCTTCCAGATTATCCACCAATTCCCAACTGGGACCAAACAAATTAAACGAACATTATAGAAAACAAAATCATTAATTTCAATGACTTTAAATAATCGTTTCGCAATTTTTGTTACCTAACAAGTAGTCTATCACAAACAAGTGAGTAAAGTATTTATTTTATCGTGATTCAATTACAGAAAACAAATCATATTTAATTGAAGCAATGATCACTGAAGGAAGACGCAAGTATGAATGCCAATTGTCATGTAAATATAATCTATATGTATGAAGTGATGAAATGGATATGGTTGATCATGAAGACCAATATTTCACTTCATTATTGAAACATTTAAGTTGAAGCAAGCTCACCCCAGCCCAGCCTATCCCATGCAGCATACCATCCTACTAAGCCCCCCAAGGCATCTACTAGCTAGAACAGATCAAAGCTTTTGAAAGACCACTCGGAAAGAAGAAAACACAGCAGGGTCGATGAAGAGAAAAAAGGAAAGAGGGTCTGCTTCCGGTGAAAAAGTCATCGGAAACAACCATATTGGAGGCTTAGGATCGATATATCTTCTACCTCTTACGCAAGTCCCTAAAATAAGCAGAAGGACTTGCTTCAAAATTACTCCTTGGTATGCGAGAGTTCCTCCCTGGTGCTTTCATTGTTTTAACACTCTTGGCAGGACCTCCACGGCAACCACGAAACAGGAGTACTATCACTACCACTGCAACCATTATAGGAACTTTTTCTTTCTTAAACCATCGGAGGACATATACCACTGTTTCGGAAGCCAGAAATTTCTTTATTAGATCAGAAAGCTTGCAGATGAAATCAGACACAGCACCAGAAGCCAGAAATTTCTTTATTTGATCAGAAAGCTTGTGGGTTAAATCAGACACTGCATCGGAAGCTATAAATTTCTTAGTTAGAGCAAAAGGCGAACGTATGTATTCAGACACAGCATCAGAAACCAGAAATTTCTTTATTAGAGAATAAAGGTTATTGATATTTGTTGAAAGAAAAGTTGGTAGTTCCATTGCTCAGGGGGTAGACTGCGATTTGTATAGAAATAAATGGGGAGGAGAGTTTATGGGTAAGGAAGAGAATCAAGAGGAAGACAGAAACCAAGAGGGCAATGACATATGAGAAGGGAACACACAATTAATGGTGTCTTTTATCAAGTGAAAATGAAAGAAAAAAGAAAAAAGAAAAAAGTGGTTTTTACGTAGTTATAACTTGTCCTGAGGATGGGCTGAGAAAAGTATTGAGTGACTGCGATGTTTTTTTTTTTATTTAAAAAAAATGATTTATTTAAGTTTTTATTAGACTGAGTTGAAAATGTTTGATTGTATTAATATCATGTTTAATCCAATTAAAATTTTAATTAAAATTTTTAATTAATTCATTAATCATGATCCCAAGCTCTTACCATTATTACAAGCACAATAGATTGAGCCTAGAGAAGGCAGGGTTGAAAAAAGAAAGCAGAAGCTAGAAACAAAGCAAGACAGAATATAGCATAATTTTCTTTGTTATTATTTATTTATGCTTCACATATGGCAAAACATACATATATTATAATGCCAACTCCAGCATGATTATTGACTTTTAGTGATTTAATAGTTTGGCTAAATCAGTGATTGGATCAAGTTTAGAAATACCGATTGATAGAATTGATTGCAAGATTTTTAAAGAAGACTATAAACAAATAATAATAATAATAATAAAAAAAAAAAACTCCTCCTCTCTCCCTTCGCATGCTTGGCTGAGACAGGCTATAAACAAATAATAATAAACAAGTAATTTGGAAAACCCTTGGATTGGCTTCCAGATTATCCACCAATTCCCAACTGGGACCAAACAAATTAAACGAACATTATAGAAAACAAAATCATTAATTTCAATGACTTTAAATAATCGTTTCGCAATTTTTGTTACCTAATAAGTAGTTTTTGAAAGTTTTCGAAATCCCAGGTAAAGTATTTATTTTATCGTGATTCAATTATAGAAAACAAATCATATTTAATTGAAGCAATGATCACTGAAGGAAGACGCAAGTATGAATGCCAATTGTCATGTAAATATAATCTATATGTATGAAGTGATGAAATGGATATGGTTGATCATGAAGACCAATATTTCACTTCATTATTGAAACATTTAAGTTGAAGCAAGCTCACCCCAGCCCAGCCTATCCCATGCAGCATACCATCCTACTAAGCCCCCCAAGGCATCTACTAGCTAGAACAGATCAAAGCTTTTGAAAGACCACTCGGAAAGAAGAAAACACAGCAGGGTCGATGAAGAGAAAAAAGGAAAGAGGGTCTGCTTCCGGTGAAAAAGTCATCGGAAACAACCATATTGGAGGCTTAGGATCGATATATCTTCTACCTCTTACGCAAGTCCCTAAAATAAGCAGAAGGACTTGCTTCAAAATTACTCCTTGGTATGCGAGAGTTCCTCCCTGGTGCTTTCATTGTTTTAACACTCTTGGCAGGACCTCCACGGCAACCACGAAACAGGAGTACTATCACTACCACTGCAACCATTATAGGAACTTTTTCTTTCTTAAACCATCGGAGGACATATACCACTGTTTCGGAAGCCAGAAATTTCTTTATTAGATCAGAAAGCTTGCAGATGAAATCAGACACAGCACCAGAAGCCAGAAATTTCTTTATTTGATCAGAAAGCTTGTGGGTTAAATCAGACACTGCATCGGAAGCTATAAATTTCTTAGTTAGAGCAAAAGGCGAACGTATGTATTCAGACACAGCATCAGAAACCAGAAATTTCTTTATTAGAGAATAAAGGTTATTGATATTTGTTGAAAGAAAAGTTGGTAGTTCCATTGCTCAGGGGGTAGACTGCGATTTGTATAGAAATAAATGGGGAGGAGAGTTTATGGGTAAGGAAGAGAATCAAGAGGAAGACAGAAACCAAGAGGGCAATGACATATGAGAAGGGAACACACAATTAATGGTGTCTTTTATTAAGTGAAAATGAAAGAAAAAAGAAAAAAGAAAAAAGTGGTTTTTACGTAGTTATAACTTGTCTTGAGGATGCGCTGGGAAAAGTATTGAGTGACTGCGGTGTTTTTTT